AATACGGACCAAATTAAATATTGGTGCAAAAACAAGGATGGGGATTCAGCAGAGCTACTTACAAGAATGTAGCAGCAGTCACATAAGGGTACAGCAGACCAAGTGTGCTGATCCATACCTCCATACACATTCTGCTGTAATGTTCAATGTCCACGCTTAGATACAAGGATGGAAACATACTCCTTTTTTTCAGCTCTGCACTTTTTGGAGTCAGAAAGTTGCTCTGAAGTATTTGTTCGTTTGTGAAGGAAAGTCAGCACTATTTTCTCTTCCAGAAGACAAAGAAACAGAGGAGAGTCTATGTTTTATAAGAGGAAGAAAACAACCACTCATCAGCTGTTGATGCTCATAACTTCACTGTTGACTCCTTTGTAAATAAAAGCCACTATAAGCTGGACATGTATCTCAGCTGTTACTGAAAACCTGGAGCTGGTCCATCTGTGAATGCTCTGAACTACAAACTGTAGGTGACATTGGTGACACCTTTTATAAGGGTACACATGTTAACATTTATCAATTGCTTATTGGCATGTTTATTAGTATAATTTTTGTCCCTAACTAATCCATGGCCATATTTCACAACTAGAAAGTCATTAATTAAGGATTTCCCCCCTTAATAACCTCCAAATTACTGCTTATCAAGGGAAAATAAGAAGGTTGTTTTAGATTAAATACAATCTTTGCGTGCTTTGCTGAAGAAGGGCTTATAAAAAAAGTCATTCCTCCTTAAAAAGACTCAATAAATGTCGTCTATTCTCATGTTACAAAACACAAAATAAGAATATTTAATATCCTTTTATCAACTCTAAGTTAAAGCTCCTGTCAAGATTTTTTACCTTCTATGAAACAGACCAAAATCTATATTGTTGGCCTTGTACGATATCCAAAAGTAAACAACACCATCAGCAACATGATGGATGATTTTTATGGTGATTTTTGATGCTTAAAACTGGTACGAAGGGGTAGGTGTTAGAACAATTAGCTAACTTATGCTAATGTGGCTAAACAAGGAGCAGAGCATCAGATTTTTCCCATGTAGATATAACTTTAATTTCATTTGTGGCTTCAAAACTATCACCTACAAGTCACTGCAAAACTAACCTGAACAAACGGTTTCAGGCAGACGCTGAAAATCACAGTAATCAGGGCTTTCACTTAAGCCAGTATAAGATGAATAAAGACTTTTCTGAGCTGTTATCATGCAACGCTAACCTATAGATGTCCCAGACTGACATAAAGAAAGGTGGAAATGGTATAATAGGTCTTATTTAAAGAGTGAGACTTGTATATTCTAGCATTTATATTAACAAGCATACTAACCCAATGTCAGGTCAAAGATGGCACCGGAGCTTTCTCTCAGCCAGAGACATAACTCTGGTGCCATCTCTGCAGTATTCCTGTAATGTTGGGCTGCTGGACTGAAAAGAAATTCTCCGCTCTAGTTTATTTAACAAGCGATGTATTGAAATATAAATAATTGTGCCTTTAGTGAGTAGATGTTTTTCCACCTTCGAGGCTGCCAGAAAACAACTTTGGATGAACTAGTTAAGAGAGTAAGTCGAAGCATGCAAAGTATTTCCCCGCCTGAAAAACCCCAGTGTAGAAACTCTTCCGAAACACCTGAATGTCCAGTGACTACTGCTGAAGGACGAGACCTTGAGGAGGCGCACTGGGCAGAGGAGCGCTTTGTTGTCATTGCTAACCAAATCAATAACACCCCCCACACACATACACATTTAAGCTCACAAGCTTTAATGTGTGGAAGTCTCTGCTTATGTGCACACTCAGTAAACAGACAAAATGCACTCCAGCAAGAGCCACAGGTGACAAATCTTATTTCTATTACATGAGCAGTTTCTTTATGGATAGTTTTCAGGATGTAAACAAACTAAAAAAAGATTAAAATGCCATCAAACTAATGCTAGTCTTGTTTAAGCCCTGCGTAAATCATTTCATGTCACCTTCCTGAGCCAAATTCAGCACGTCTTATTTTGAATTTGATTTTACTGGAACAGACTGCTACCACTGACATACAATCCAGATTTTCTATTTGTGTGTATTTTTTTTACTCAAAGATGCAACCCAAGAGAAATTTAGATCTTCAAAGATTTTTCTTTTGAGGACTCAAAATGATGTGTCCTTGTGCTTAAAATGTGGTGGATATGAGGAGTGAGAGTGGAACAAAAGAAAAGAAGTTCCGTGTGATAAGACCAAAATAGTGCGCTGAAAAAATAGGCTACGTAAGAGCAGATGAGGAATAGAAACAGGTGGAATTGCAGAAACAGGAAAATATTTTGTTTATTTATGTAAATTTAGTAAAAACTTTAACATGAAATAGAGCTGCTGACCAAAAGTTACTTTAGCGGTACACAGGATGGGATAGCTGGGCTGATTTTGGGCTCAAATCCTCTCTCTTGAATAAAATCAGCAGAGTCCAGATTTTCTGACAGCTCTAAAGATTATCTTGCCAGGTTGTCCTATGGTCTGACATACTGTATATTATCTATGATTTTCTTATGCTGACTTGCAAGACAGTTTAGACAACACAATCAGGGGCGTGCTGACTTAAAACTGTAAATATTTAAAACCTCTGTGAGGAACTGTCTGCTTCGAATTGATTTATGCGTCCCCAGTGGACAAAGAAGTGGACAGATGCATCTTATGGTAAATGGAGGATGTTTATAAAGTGCTTCCTCTGGTCTTCTGCTAAGTCAAAGAATTTTCACAAAACACAGCATATCCACATTCTGCACACACCAGCTTTAAATGATGGCATTCATATAATTTGGGGTTGAGTGTCTTGCCCAAGGACACTTCAGAGTGTGGACAGCAAGAGTGGAATAACAGGAGTATATAAGCCGCTGTGATTGATGGATATGAGCGAGCTGGTTATACTGTACACACACACACAAGTGTTGCTTGGCAGCAGGAATGGGCTCTAGGCTCAGCTCCACTACTTCCTGAATTTAAGGCAGCTGCTTTATTTCCTGTCTTACATGATTGGACAAACTGATACATCCAGGTGTGACTGATCATTGTGACCTGTAGCTGAGTTGTGAAAAAAATAAATCAGGGGGGATGGTGGATTTTATTGTTTGGGACGGATATTTTGTTCTGATGACAGTGCACCAAGTGGGAAACCAACTGCATACCCATTTTATTGTTGCTAAAGCACAAAGATAATTATTATATATCATATTATCCCTTGGATTGAGCGGTCCATGTCGCTTGACCACGATACTAAAATCACAACAGCGTCACCAGTGCTGCTTCGCCACTTACTGACGTCATTTTTTTTTTTAAAAGGGAAAAAATGTTTCTTTTTTCACATGTGCCTCCTCATCCAGAGTATTTTACTAAATATGCACAAAGCTCCCTGTCGCAGGGTTCTCAATCAAACAATCAAAATATGGTGGAAAAACACAGGCGTAGTGGGAGAAATACAGTGATGGTGATTATATTTACAGCAGACCTTCCAAGGTGCAGTGCAAAAATAGAAAGAAAAAAAAAAACAGGTCAAATACCATGAACAAAATGTACAAGGTCAGAAAAGAAAATACCAACAAGGCAGGAGTTCCACACTATAACTCAAGATTCTCACTTGAGACAAACAAACAAACAAACAAACAAACAAACAAACAAACAAACAAACAAACAAACAAACAAACAAACACAGCAGCACTACAAAAGTTAGTTTGGCACTTACCTTCCATCCTTTCATACAGCTAACTCCAGACTCAAAGAAAGGCCCCGGCAGCCATCTTTTAAACCCTCCTAGCCCCTCCCAGTGGGCGTCATTATTTAAATAAGTTTGGGGGAAAATTTTTTAACCTTTTTAACCTTCAGACCTTTTTCTGTAAGTTTTTGGCATTTTAACTTAGTTTTTATACAAATCAATGGAGCATTAATTTTTAGAGATTCATGGCAAACAACAAGGGAATAAATTTTTTGACCACTTTGACCCTCCATACCCACCTATATACAACACGGAAATCACGCGCTCTGTTTCCTTATTTGGAAACATGATCCGGCACGATGGCGTGGATGGACACCAGGCAGGTAAGTGGAGAGATGAATATCTGTGTGAAAGTATGTTTAAGTTAGCCGGTAGGGCTCCAATCGTACACCCTTGGTTACCCTGTGCAACAGAGAAGGGAGACGGAAAAGTAGCGCTGTTTGGTGGGGAATTAGCGACGCTGGCGGGGAGGGAAATGTTTGGCGCGTATATAGCCGTGTGTATGTAGCTGTGTGCTAAGGCTCCATGAGCTGCCCCAGTCAGTGAGGACGCTACTGCGTCACACCCATAGACTGTCTATGGTCACACCCCCAAACGTTGAAATGGTGGTAACGTTTCCAATGTTAAGTTACTAGTAATAATTCCACATAAAAACGGCTCAAATGATAGAAAGCTGGGATGACCGTTTTAGGAGGGGGATGAGTTTTACCATTTTCATTTCAGGGGGGATGCCATCCACCCTCATCCCCCCCTTATCTGGAGTACTGGTTATTGTTATATGTTATTATAGTTATCCCTATAATAGAAATATTACCAATAAAACATACATGGAATGATTAAAAGTTTTATATATAAATGGTTTAATATAACTGCCTTGTGTGTGTAGGCCTATAGCTATTGCTCCACCTATCTGCTTAATGTTTATTAATGAAAATACATGGTTAAAATTATTCTTGAGTATACAGGAACATAACTAAAACTCTCAGGTATGTTGCAAACGAAACCGTTCAAAAATCGGTTTAAAATTAATCAGTCTATGGTTATTTAAATGCCACATGCACCGGAGACTGTAATGTTATGAGTGGGCGAGCATCCCGTAGCAAAATGGCCGCCATGCGCAGACGTTGGTCTCCACTGGCTAACAGCGTGCGTAAGCCATCTAACGTTTATATGTATATCTATGGTTGTAACTACTCAGACACACCTGGATTAATCAGTTCGTCCAATAATGTAAGAGAGGAAATACATAAAGGAGCTGCCTTAAGCTCAGGAAGGAGTGGACCGGTATATAGTGCCCATTTGTGAAGAGATCGGTATAAATGCACACTGTGGGTCATAAATGAAACTGTCAAAGGGGTAATAAGCAGCAGCTAGTAGATATTACGACAAATACCCAAGAGGACCGAATACCGCGATGATACAAGCGCCGATGCCAACACCGAAAACCACCCGGCGGCAGGTGTCGACTAGCGGGGTAAGAGCCGCAGCTAACTTGCTCCGAACAAGCCGCGGTGGCTAACAAATATACCGGCTGAGAACGAGCAGTCTGCGGGGTAGACGAGAGCGACGGAGAAACTTTGTATTAACTACCGCTGTTACAGGCCAGATATAGAGGGGAATATTTATTCACAGTCAGGAGTCACTTAAGTCAAGCTACTTCAGTTATCATGTAGAAAACTCTGTCACTGTTATATTAGCTAAGCTAAACGTATTAGCTTAGTTAGCACTCGCCTCTAGCTTAATTTTAGCCTTGCTTCGACTATTTGAGTTAGGTGTTAGCTGATACAAGTCCATCATCTCAAATATGTGAGGATTTACTGGACTCTCATGATACTTATACCCCTTTTCTTATCAAACCTGGTCTCTTTAGGTACAGTTTACACTTTATGGTAAAAACTCAACATTTAACACCATTGACCATGGAAAAGGACTTCAACATAGAGCCGGACTTCACCGCTCAGATGACAGACTTCCCCACACCTCAAGCTCGGATGAAGCGCTGAGACATCTGTGTGTTGAATGGGTTTCATTTTTGGCTCCCAAAAAAAGACTCTTTTTAGACTTTAAAGCCATTTATTATTACCTGCATTTGTGTGAGTGATGGGGGGGTTATGTGAGTGGGGGGGTATTAACGTCAGAACTTGCAATATGTGCTCAGGATATTGATACTGGTTTGCAGTGAACTAGACTGTACCTGTTGGTGATGCAGTGTCTCCACTGAATATACCATAACCTTCTTTACAATCTAATGACTAGTATATTCTAATATTGTATTAGTGTCATGGACTGTAACTAACAGGGCCTGAATTTAACTTTTCAGAATGGGGTGGATGCCCCCACTTGAGTTCACATTGGGGGAACAGAAGGGGGGATTTACAGATACATGTAAACATGCTGTGATTACAGGTGATAAAGTTAGCAATCGTAGCAAATTAGCTTGTTTAAATTTCTATATCATTTCCATAAAGTGATAATCATCAAACTTTGCACTGCAGACGCGGTAGTTCTTCTGCCTTAGCGTCTCATTCTGATTGTATTTCCATGAAGAAATGATCATAAATGTTCATCCTTGAGCTGCGTCACCCCGCTGTAGTCCGTAATGGACTAACCCGAGGCCTCGCTACAAACAAGCCGCTGCTGGAAGAGAGTAGGTGAGTTGTGTTTGGTCTCTTTGCTGAAGAAATCAGGCAAAGATAAAACGATGTTTGTTGGGTTGTGCTGTAGCTGGGAACCTATAACCCATATGTCCTGTTGATGAAGTTAGGTGCTGTTCTGTTCATTATTTGTGGCTATAGAGTGGCGTTTTGGTTGAGGTTTGTTTATGGCTCCTCAGACCGCTGTGTATTGCTATCCTGCGGTCGTTACTAAAGTTGGTATAACTAGAGAAGCAAGCGGTCGGCAACATTCATCTCTTGACGGGGTGTCGAACTTGGTGTTACGGTGTGTTTGACCCTAAATTAATTTTATGCCGGAATATCCCTTCAAGTTGCCTTGCTGTTGTCGTGACCAGATATAACCAACCTTTGGTAAAGTTTGTTAAGTAAAGATGGCATAAGTCTGCTGAATTTGACAGTCACTTCCTCTTGTCACAGCACACTTGCTCGCCTGTGTCTGATAGAGAGAAAGTGAGCGAGCTGCAGTGTAACTGATCCAGACTAATGTGGCGTCTCTACACACTCTGCCCTGTACACAGTTGTGCAAACGTTTGTGGTGTCCTGTCCGGAACTACTGTATAAAAATATATATTCTAATATCTCCAATACTGCAGCGAAATGTAAGCCCTGGGCAGTTATCTGTGTTTGCTGATAGATTATTACAGTTTGACAGGAACATCTTCTGCTGCACTCTTCTATTTCTCGGGGTATTGTTCCTAATAAATTGTCCTGTCCACTTTTTTTGCTTGTACTCAGTGTGCTGTGTTGGCTGGCTGGTTGCTCCCTTCACACAGTGTGAATTAAAATGTTAAATCTGTCATTATTCGTTGTCTTAAGGGGAGTTTCCCACATTTTTAATAACCGTTAAAGATTTAATGTGAGCCAGGTTTTAGAAAATTGTCGACCATTCACTTTGTACTTTTTTTTATGTTGTAATTGTTAAAAATTTTATGAACACCTGAGACTCTGAAAATCCAGGTTCTGGACTTTAATACAGGAGTTTATGTAATATTGCCTGGGTGTTGCCTAATTTCTAACATGACCTGGTTTCTCTCTGCGAGTACTTTTTTGTATGCATGTGAACATGCTGAGTGGAGGGAAGAGGATGATGAGAGTCAAAGGAAGTAAGTTAAGAAAGGCAACAAGAAAAAACACAATATAAACAGAGAGAGAGAGAGACGGAGAGAGAGAAATGTGGAGCAGAGAGAAGCAAAGGAACGAGCTGGAGATGGAAGCAGAGAAAAGGGAATAAGATCAAATAAAAGGGAGACAGTGGGAGAAAGCAAGGAGTGAGGAGAGTGAGAGGGGCTTGGTTGACACATAAAACAAAGATGAGACACCTACAGGGAGAAAAAGAGAGGAGAGGGAGGGAGGGGGGGTTTGTGGAGACGAAGCTGTTGCTGGAAAATGGAGATAGACACCTCCGAGAGGGAAAAGAAAGAAGCGACGGGAACCAGCGTGTGGAGGGGATAGAGAAGAAGAGGAGGAGGAGGAGGGAGACAGAGGGAGGGGAAGAGCTAAAGAGGAGGGGAGGGGACGAGACGGGTGAGGGAGGACCAGAGGAGAGGAGAGAGAGAGGCAGATACGGAGGTCCACAGACAGACAGCAGAAGCAGCAGCAGCAGCGTGTAGAGTGCAGCATGCAGACTGGCCACTGACGCTGCCGTGGGATTGAACACACACATTGCACAGACGCACACACCCCTGAGGAGTGTATGAGACATGCCCAGGCTGCTGTCCATGGACACACACACACTGGCAGGGCACCAGAGAGGAAATACAGCAGACCCCCGAGCCTGAGGAGCGATGGAGAGCAGCATGTTTTTTGGTGAGTTTGGATTTTGATCTCCTTGTTTGTGTCCGTATTAAATGCATCTCACCCTCCAAGATTCATTTTTATTTTTTTTTAACCCAAATTAATTCCCTCACTTGTTTTGGCTAACAAGTAGAAGCTCTGGTGTCTATTTGAGCTCAAGAGTGTGAAGTTCCCCACCTAGGAGACCTGTCTGTGTGTGTGTTTCTGCCTGTTTCTGCTCACTACATGTGCTTTATCACTGTCAAATTCAGAGCAGAAGTGCAAACTCTCCCCCTCCTCTAAATGTAAATGTGTTCCAGCCTGCATGTAACTTGTCCTGGAAACTACAAAAGATGGACCACAGGGAAAAAAATGCAGAAGTAGAAGAAGCATGAAGTTGCTCTGAAATTTGTTGAATGAACCTGCACACCAGGTACCCCCCCCTCTTCTTTCTGCTCATCCCGGCTTTACTGGACTGAACCCCAGCTGCTTTGGCTGCTCGCTGAGGCTGTCTGACCCGCCGACTCTCCGTAGGAATCCAAATCTTCAGCCTTCGAAATCCACTTGAAATTCTGCGTGGTGAAATTTAGAGAAAGCCCCCTCCATTAGTTTTTCTGGAGGAGGCTCGTAGGAAGACTTAATGCGCAAGCGGCTTCCCGTCAAGTGCTCTTCTCACGGCTGGCTTACTGTCACACAGGAGGAATAATTACGCAGGGATCCTGAGTTCTGAGGGGGTGATTTGTTAAATGAAAGACCTTTTTTTCATCCCGGGGATTAAAGCGATCTGAAGTTACAGAGCGTGGCTTGTAGGAGCGAGAAGGATTTTCTCTTGTTATGCCATACACAGAGGAGGAGGAGGAGGAGGAGAGGGACAGGGATGGTGGTGGAGAGGGGGGGTAGAGTGCCAGAAGCTTATAAATGAATAAGCTGTCAGGTGCAAAGACAGCTTAAGTTCTTTGATATGTAACACTGATGACGATCAGGTGTGCAGCTTCTGCGAAAGTAAAGAGAAAATAAAGGCGATGCACGGCTGGTTGGGTGGGGGAGTTTGGAATTTGGCCTCATTTAACCCAAAATCTTCGAAAGTTGGCATGAAGGAGCTTGTCGGCTTCAAGCACTGACAGTTCAGACAGGTTTCTGGGGCTGCTCGGCTCCAAGTGTGGAGTTATTCATTTACAGGTATCTGCACTGGCCTCTAACATAGCCTTAAAATGCATTCGGTACCGACAAATCTGTCAGTAAATGCCACCTTAGTTTGTTGTCGGACACAATAAGAAACATCGAGAATAAAGTGCAAGTGGAAACTGCGACGTCAGTCAAAGTTAGCAAAGTGTGAAGAGTCAGCAGCACTATCACCAGGTTCAGTCTGCACGCATGAACACTGCTGGGCAAACATACCACAGCAGAACCTACAGAAATGCTTGTTAAGCCCGGCTCTACATGGAGATCTAGAGTAGTTCATGGTGTCAGCAGCAGCTCTGGTGCACAGCTAAGGACTTCTCCACACCTCATGGTTGTGAGATGCAGCAAGGTGTGCACAAAAGTGTAAAGACTTGTTTATCACCGCTTGTAGCTTTAATGTTTTCCTCTCACTCTTTTTAAATCTCACCTTGGTTATACTCCTGATTGTTTCTTTCTTTATAATTGCTTTAATGGTTCTCAGAGGTTCTTATGTTGTTAGTTTTTTTGTGTAAGGTGCTAAATGTTTGAGCTAAATTGTTGTTGGGTTGACACAGCACTTTGTAAGCGCTTTGATTTGGAAGTTTGCATATCTATGAAGTCAAGAAATAAAGGCTGCAGCTGGATAGCTCAGTGGTTTACACCTCTAACTTTACCCTGGAGGGCAGGGGTTTGAATCCCTAGCAAGATGCACCACTATACATTCAGTGTGGCCCCTTGGGTAAGGTCCTTTGTGCAGTATGCCCACCACAATACATAACAAAGATGCGATGATAAGGGGGAGCCAGGATGCCAGGAGATGGGAAAAATGCCACTGAAAGGGGGCTGATGATCTGAGTGTAAGGATGTCCAGGCTGGCTGGTGTGTGTCTCATTACACCACAGGATTTTGGTTTTGTAATATTCTTATTTGGTGTGTCGAAATACTGATTAATAATGTCCTCTTTAAGTCCAACTTTGTAGTTTCTATAGCAGCTATTCCAGACGTCTATACTCTGTTTTTTGAGACCGCAGTTTCTGAGCTGATGGCTGACGTCACATTTGCCATGTCGGCTCCTAATCTGCTCGGCCAGTGTTTCTTTCTTTCTTTCTTCTGCGCTTTTGTCAGAGTGAGTATTACTACCCACCTTATCTGCAGCACTCAGTGTAAAACAAAGGAACAAAAGGAGTAAAGGTCAATGTTTGCGTTCAGGATGTTCATCGTTTTAACATTTATGAATTCGCTCCTGAGTGCACGAGTCCAGCGCGGCCGGGAGAAAATAGATGGCACGTCTGAAAAGATTAATAACACTGTTTGCTCAGCAGCTCTGCATTTGCTGCTATTTAACTGGAACCTGTTTTCTATTAAAGTGATTAATATCAGGTGACATATCATGAAGAGAGCCCGCCAGACTCTTGACCTCTTTGAAATGAGACTCTGAGAGGGAGAAACATAAAAAATAAACAGATCAAAAGGGAATGCATTAAAAGCTGTCCACAGGCATCAAAGGCAGGCAGTAAAACAAGCGTTACCCAGCAGGCTAATAGGTCTTGAGTGTGTGCTGCAATCATACAAGCTATTAGTGTTGTTGAGTCGAAAGGCCCGGAGGAAAATCTATCCGGTGTGTCTGACTTTGTGGTCAGCGTTTAGCAGCACGTAAACCTCTTTTTGGTTAACCTCAGATTACAGAGCGCATGAGAAGTGATTGTTGGAGCCGGTTCAGAGACAGCTGTGTTTATTAGCGAGGCCTCGCTCATGACAGCAGCGAGAGCTACAGTATGCTAATCTGGAGAGGACGGGGGCAGAGGGTGTTATGTAGCCCGCAGCCAAATGCACAGTGTATGTGCCACACGCTGCTAAGATTTATGGGCTTTCAGAAGAATACAGAGCTTATCCTGGAAAGGTTAATTGGAAAATCAGCGCAAAGTGTAGCGTTCAAGAAAATAAGAATGTTTCAGATCTAGCCTTTTGTAGCGACTTTGTTAGGTTTAATGGGGGTGAAACGATTTTATCCTCCTCGCTTGAAGGGAAGTGCAGATCTCAGAGCATGTTAAGGGTCGCAGAATACAATCAGGAAAACACAAAAGTCTTAATCACATGCAGAACTTCATCAGCATAAGAATGACTTTCAGTGGATTCAGATTTATCTAATAATTGGATTTATGTTTGCTGAGCGGGGAAGAAAAAAGGCTTTTATTTTGAAGCTCTCAGCTCTTCTGGACTCTCAGCCTCACTGGACAGATCTTATCGTGGGAGCAGCCAGGTTCAGGACACTAAGAGGAGGCAGGCGGCGGCGGAGGGATGATTAATTATTAATGCCAGGCGGCGTCCTCCAGACATCGCTTTTACTCTCTCCGGCTCCACATGCGGCTTAAGGAGTAAAAACGCTTGGACCCAGATCAGTGCATCTCTCAGGAAGGGCAATGCAGAAGACAGCCGGAGTGTGAAGCATGTCATGACAGGATCGTGATACTCACATCCTGTCCAATGATCTGCTCAAAACATCTCTAACTGTACGTGCTGCATCATTAAACGCCGCCTCAAAGGGAACGGGTAAACAAAGGCCAGCGGGTAGAAAACTCGCATCCATTCGAAGACGTTTAGAGTTCCATAAGTCGGATCTCATCTCAGCTTGGCAGAGTTACACACGCGGGCAGCGCAGGCGAAAGAGCATCTTCAAAAGCCCCGGGTTTGGTGTCAACTGGTTCGTGGTAATTTGATTAATTGAGATGATGATTTGGAATATGCATCCCTGAAGTGGAGTGTCAGCTGGCGTGTTCGAGTCCTCGTAGCTTCATCGGTTTTATTTGCAGGATGAACTCTGAGAGACACTGAGATTCTCACACATTGTTGCCTCTTAAATTTGGATGACTAATGTGCGACCGATAATTAAACATCCAGGAAACAAAGAGCAATTCAGGCGGACAACATTAGCATTCATTTGGACTCATGTTTCTCGGGATGCGACTAATGTGAAGCAATTCCTTCTTCTCATTTCATCGGTGGTGGAGGAGAATCTGTTTCTCTTTATCTGCTAAATGCTCACAAAGCTTGATGCTAACTCGGTTCAGAGTGTGTTCTTAGGGCTTTTTCCGTGAAATGGCGGCTGGTTTACTCTAGAAGTCATGCAGAACCAGCAGAAATTAATACTGCTACTACTTCTGCTAGCTGTTTCAAGGTCCAGATCGAAAACCAAAGTACTACCAGAGGATCTCAGACCAGCCCTTCCCCATATTTCTGAGCTTTTACCCCCTTATTAACCAGAACATGGTCCATCTTGGGCCTTAAATGTGATTAAAGGATATTAAGACAACATCTGGTAGCCGGTGTTGATCAGCTAATATGAGCTCATTTTTTCTGTTCTGTTCTAAAGCTGATCGCTGCTTCATTTCAAACAGTTTGAAGCCAATGGATTGATTTTTGGTTGAGGCTCATATGAAGTGAATTACAGTTATGGAGGCGAGGCAGAATCAGGCCTAATAAGTACCACACAGATGTTCTCACTAAATCTGTATCTGCATGTAAACACCCGATCTGATTGAATCACAGGCACCAGTGTCCTCATTAACGTTAATGTAAATCGGAGTTGTCCGTGTAAAGGAAGCTAATCAGAAGAGACTGGCTGAGCTGGGGTGGGCCTGAGGGGGCCTGGGCCCAACCAGAACCTGGGCCTAATCAG